AAAAAGAACTTTGGATTTTTATTTTCGAATTTCGTTGCCAATTGAGCACTTTTGAGTAAATTTTAGAAAACTCGTTGCTTACGGAGCATTGGCCTTGATTTGAATTTATTGAGAAATATACACCCTTTGAGGTGATTTTATTGCATTCAATATTTTACTCTGATAAATTTGATTATTTTGCCATGATATTCGCGGGGTAGAAAAGGGTGTTACATGTTTTATTGTCGAACTATATGATACATATTATCCAAAAACTCATTAGCACCTTGTTCTCTGAGTTTAGCCTGCAATAGCTGGAGACCAGACAATGCTTCTAGACCCGGGGCTGGTGGTGGTGTTGGAGGTCTGAGTGAAGGTTCTTCTGTTTTGAGCTACGGAGAATATCCTGGGATATGCGGAGGTTGGAGTAGATCTCGATGTAACATAGTTTTTACAATAGCTTGATTCATATTGCCTTAAGAAGAAGGATGTGACTAATTTCTTGCGGCTTGAGCAGCGGAAGCAAAGATGATTGTATTATATAAAGTGGTATAGTAAGTGGCTTAACATCTAGCCATCGTTGAAAGATTTGGAGATTAGAGATTAAAAAATTCTAAAAATTAGACATGATTCCACATTTAAAAAAATCGAGGACAATTAATCTGAAGTTTGATCTCAAGAACTCTAATATGATATGTTGAGAGATCTTCGAATTAGTGAGTCAAAGTGAATATATGAAATCACGCAAAAATGTGGGAATCAGAAGTTAATTCCCACATATGGTGCCACTGTTCCGTTATGGAACCAAAATTCATTGGAGAACGATGGTTGTGATGTGCAACAATGGACTTGAACGTTTGGTGCAGTGAAGGAGGGCTTGACCAGCAAGTTAGCACCCTAACGCTAAAGTCAATGTGTGAATGAGATGAGTGAATGAAGTTTTGAATTTGAAATTGTATACATGGATAAAGGTGCACTTTCCATTTATATAGGGGGTGGTTATAACCGCTCGATATTCTTAAGGATTTAATTACGGGGTACCGTTAGATGTATCTTGGATCAATGTCTCATATTCTTTTCACCGGGGTAGTATGCTTATGCTACAAGCAGTTGAGAAAGTAATTACTTTCCAGAGTCGGGCATGTTAACTTTTTTGGCCAACCCAAAACATGTTTAATTATAGATTTCTCATAGATGTCCATTTTACAACAACTGTGAAAGTGTTGGGGTTATTTGGAGTTGCCCCATATAATAGAGATACAATGAAGGTTTTGGAAGCTAAGCACTCGTACATGCCACCTCCTTCCATGTCGACCACCTTATTATTCAAAGTCTCCCTTGTAGCTTAAGTTGGGCATTATTCTCAATGGCATTAAATCGTCCTCAAAATGGACATCATTTGGTAGATTTAGTTTGTGATCCATATAAGTTTTAGTTGTGACAATAGATCTTTTATGTGGAACCACTTTAGTTGTTAACATATGGGTAAGAGGAAGATGTTTTATGAGTTTGTAACTTTTACATCCTTGACGTTGTTATTAAAGTCTGATGGTGGGATATGCCATATTGCGTCTGGTTTCAATGTTTCTATTAAAGGAGTCGAAAAAGATGTGCCATAATATCTCAATGACTTTCAATTTGAGGTTGGGTATCCTTTGGTGTTAAGGCCATTTTTCACAATAACAATAAGGTGTTAAGCAAGAGACGTGGAAATGGTTCTTTGAATATGCTCACGTTATTATATTTTAATATTATCAACACGGTAGACTGGTCAACCATAGTGCGAGAAGTGAGGATGAGACAACCTCTATTTCCTTGTGGGCCAAATTCTTTTATGGTCAGGCAGCAAGGTTGTGCATTTGGAACATATTATGTCAGCCATTGGTGTGCAACAAGGTGACCTATATCATCACCGCTCTTTTTTTATATTGTATTACACCCTCTTATTCATAAAATTAGAGAAATTTGCAAGCTTCTACTTCATATTTGGTATCTTGGCAATGGAACCATCATATGGCGTTCAAGGAAGGTGGATAAAGCCCTTGACATCATTCTGGAGACGGGTTCATGACTGTGTCTTTAATTGAATATTCGTAAGACTGAGATATGCTGGCCTTTATGTGATGCTAGTAAAATTTGTGGGGATTGTTCATTCATACATTGGAAGACCTGTGTTGGAAAAACAATTGATGAGTTATTAGTTGAGATGGAAGTTTTATCGAGGTATTGTCCACAAAGAGACCTGTCAAGAAGGTTGAGTTAATGCATCTTATATTATAGTTAAAGAATCCACAAAGTGAGTTTTTTCTACTTCGATCATGCATAGGTATCACCAAATTATTTTTTGGCCTAAGAACTTGTCAACCGGTTTTCATGAATAAGATAAATATTTAATTTAATAAATAGTTACGAAGGACGGTAAAAGATATTGTAGTTGGTGGAGATCCTTTCTTCTAAAACTTTCAATAAATGATGGTTTCTTTACCTATTAGAATTGGGGGAATAAGATTTTACTAGGCAATAGAAATTTCCGCGTACACTTTTGTAGCTTCTATGACAAAATCTTGAAGATCCTATATTGAGAGATTAATATATATGGTATGGATTACGATTTTCACAGAGCTTTGAATAGTCTCATTAATACAATTTCAAATTTTGACCTTAACATTTTTGCTAACAAAGATATTGTCCACTACAAGAAAAACTAATATTAGTTAGGTAATTTTGCTGGATGAATTTTACCTCGCAAAAAAATGATGGTTGCAGAATGACAATCACCTCGCAACACATTTACCCAAATAAATAAAAATTATCATCTCGCAAGTCATCTGGAGGGAAACGGATTTTTTTAAAACAATGTTTGAGAGGTGTTATTCACCTCGCAAATAAATTTTTAAAATTCAAAATTTGAACTTTAAGACAAGGAAATTCAACGCAGGCTTTTGCAGAGTCTAGTTAGAAGGTTGTGAGGTGGAAAACACTCAGCAATTGTCACATGCATTGCGACGTGTCTTGCACCCAGCAACAAGATGCATTACGACATACTTATCACACTGCAACGTGCACATGCATTGCAAGGTGAAAGTAACTCAGCAAACTGACATGCTCAAATTCCAAAGCACTACAACGGTCACATGGAAAACAAGTCTATTTATTAATTTGTTTTCCCTTTCTTCAGCAGTACCGCATTCACGTCTAATTTTTTTGTTTCGCAGATTCAACTTTTTTTTTCTTCTACAAATAATACAAAAAATTTGCAGAAGCTCATAAAAATTCAGTCATCTTCTCCATTCCAGTATCAAACTTTTGATTAAGGTTCGTTGTTATTATAAGGTACACACTTCATTTCGAATTTTTTTTTACTAATATTGGATTGTTTTGGTTTAAATGTGTTTGTTGATATTACTTTCATTGTTTATGTTGTTTTAAATTTTATTTTTACAAATATTTTTTATGAGAATATTAATTTTGTTTATATATTTATAATGTTTTGTTGTGATTTATTATTTAATAGGATATCAATTTTGTTTTAGTTTTTTATAATGTTAAAAAATTAAAACAATATATATATTATTAACAATATTTATTTTATGAGTATATGGGATATTGATTTTGTTTTAGTTTTTTATAATGTTAAAAAAATATGTATATTAGGCGGTAGCCTTGATTGTCTATCCTTAGAGTCGGTCCATATGTCCTATGCGGTAGCCTTGGTTGCCTACTTCTAGAGCCGGCCCTAAAAGTTAGTCGTAATATATTTGCTAGGTGAAAATCACTTCACAAGTTGCTAGGTGAAAATCACCTCGCAACTCACTTTCCTAACCCAAGGAGACAATGCAGGCATGCAGAGAGTAGGTGGACAGAACGCAAGTGTGCAGTATTTTATTGTGTGTGCGAGCGCGCGCGCGTGTGCGTAGGTGTGGGCGCGTGTGTGCGTGTGTGTAAAAATAAAAATTAGTATATATAATAAAATAGAATAAAACTTATATTATATTATTACAAAATTATCATAATTAAATTTGTATAATATAAAATATATAAGAATATTTTATTATTTAATATAAAATATTCTATTATATTATATTATTACAAATTTATTATAATTAAATTTGTATAATATAAATATATATAAAAAATTATTAAATACATTTAAAAGTTGTCGAGTGATTTTCACTTAATAATGCATGAAAAAATGTTAAGTGATTTTCATCCAACAAATTCATGAGTTACAAGGTAAATTTCACACAATAAAATGTTGTACACCTTCTCTGTCTACCTGCTCTCTATGCCTAATTGTCTATTTGAAAAAGTATTCGCGAGGTGATTTTCACCTAACAACTTGTAAAGTGTTTTTCTCTCAACAAGTAAATTGCGACTAATATTCGGGGCCTGTTTTAGGGGTAGGCATCTAAAATCTCATTTTTTATATTATATTTATAGTAAAGTTTTAATTAATTTTTTAATTTTTTTAAATTAGTTTTTATGAAAATTAAATAATAAAATCTGTTTAAAATATATAATGAAAACAACTATTTATTATATATATAGTATGATGGGTTAATTTAAAAACCAGACTTATGGAATAAAGTTCTATGTTTGTTTTACGTAATATAATACTTGATTTCTAAATTGTTTTAAGGAATTTTGACAATGTATTTTCGATTATAATTTTTTTAAATGATGAAAAAAGATAATTTTATTATCAATTGAAAATAAAATGTTAAATAAAATTAATTATAATAATGTAATGATTTAACATTTAAAAAATCAAAAATATAAAATACATTAATATAAAAAAAAATATTCTTACTATATAAAAATGTCTAATTTAAAGTTTCGTCTCAAGCTTTGAAATTTATTAAACCAGTTCTGTTAACGTTTTAGTTAGGTGAATGTAACTTATATCCAATCCAATTTGTGTTGTTCCACTAGTTAAGATATATATAAAAATCGAAACAAGATATCAAAGGTAGGTTGATTATATTGGAGAGATGATGAATAAAAAAGTTGAGATGGATGGATTACATGATGGAACATGCATTTACATTATCATCGTTAAAAAGGGAGACAAGTATCTCCTGTTGATGATTAGAAGGGTCAGCCTGCAGAACGTTTCTAACAAATCCAGAGGGTGCCCTTCTGTCATAGGCTCCATAGGCATAAGGATAGTGCACAAGATGCTGTTCAACGTAAGGCCAAAATTGAGCTCTCACTTTCCCAGTACTCTTTATCCTCTTTAACACCTTGTTTGGATCCACATACCCACTTACTATCACCCTGCTTTGTTTTCTATTCACCTCCACAGATTTCACACCTTTCATTGAAGTCACTGCATTTCTCACTCTTCTTTCGCAACCATCGCAGTCCATTCTCACTTTTATCTCAACTGTCTGAAATTATGGTGATTCAGTATATATATGAAACAAAAGTATGATGAACCAAGGAAGGAAGGATACCTGCATTGCTTTGCGGTTGGCCTTCTTAATGGTGGTGGTGTTTACACCGACGGTATCACAAAAGTTGGAGAGGTAATCAAGTGCACCCATTTCTTGCAAGTGTGAAAGTGAATGAAATGAGTGGGGTTTATATACAAAAAGGAGGCTTCATGAATTAAGATATTCAGAATTACTATATTATAAACCGCAATTATTGATGGGGACATATGTTCCTAAAGCCAGATAACAGTGCGAGTGATGGCTCTGGTAGGGTTTATCTTTGCAATTATTTTATTAATATTGCATTTTGTTTAAGCAATTCGTTACCGAAATAGTCCAATGCCTTTCATTTGATTAGAAATTAAATTCGATACTTCAAACTAATGGAGTCCTAGAAAGATAATGAACGGCGGGTGGGACCGATAGTAAAGTTGAAGCAATAGAATTCGTTAGAACTTCAGCTTCCGTGAGCATAATATTGAGTATTGATTATTATAAGATGATTATGATTATTAATCTAATCCCGATGTTAACAGGGAGATTAAAGTGCAATCGCGTTTTCTCTATTTGAAATTGTATTTATTTATCTCTTATTTTAGTCTCTAAAAAATTATTTTTGAGAACGTACAAGCATCACTAATTAAATTTAAAAAAAATAATCACCCAATAATTTATAAGTTTTGCAGATTAGGTGTGAGTTTATCCATAATCTAATTATTTTAAATGATTTTTCGTTTTTAAAAACTGTTTTCACCCAAAAATTTATCTCAACCTATTTTTTATCTCGGTTTGAATGAGTTTATTAGATTTACCAAACTTTGTACACCGCTATAAGTAACATGGTATATGGACCAAATTAGTTATGGTGGGACTATTATACAAATACAATAGCCAATAACATAGTCTTTAACAAACTTCTAACTAACATAAGAAACTAATAACTATCTAACTATCATTTAACAACTTACATAGCTTGTGTAACAAGTTAGTTGATCTAACTTATTCCTTATATGAGAAAAATATATATGGCAGTGAGGTTTAAAAGAAAAAAAAATGCAGAATTGAGGTTTAAAAAATTGAGAGATTTGCATGAAAAGAATTTTGGAGAATTTTATTTTATTTATCATTAAAAAATTCTCGAGTTTGTGGAACTCAAGAATTCTATTGGAGAAGTTTTTTAAACACTTTAAACATATAAAAATATAATCCCTTTAATCACTTGATTCTTTCTTTTTTTGATTGAAATTTTTCTAGAAAATTGAGTTCTTGAAACAACATTAAATATATAATGTTGTTGGGATGAAGAAGATCATAGAACTCATTATTGAGAAGATTTAAAGATTCAACAGTCATACATTCATTATCAACAAATCTCAATATTTTTAATGGAAAATCTTTCGTGTCAATTGCAAAACTTAATAACATAAAATGCTTATATAGATTCTCATGAGCTTCATTTACTTTATAAGATTATTAGAAATAATAAATTTTATCTTATCTTTTATTTTAAGTAGACATTTTTATTTATTTGTTTTTGTAGTTTTGTATTTGTTTGCATGTGTTTTTTTTAGTAAATAATTATGAGTTTAATTTATTTGTGAGTTAATTTAAAAAATCTCAAAAGTAATTTGTGCAAAATATATGTACAAGAAAAAGTGTGTGTAAATTAAATGAGAATGTTTGTACGAAGACAAAATAGACACAAACTTTAATGACGAAAAAGCTTGAATCGGTGTAATAAACAAAAACTGCAATAGTGAAAACTGTTTCAATTAAAGAAAATATGGTAAATGACAATTAAAGAAAATTGTTTCAATTAAGGCAGTATAAAAATAATGAAAGAAAGAGACATTCTCATACATGTTCCTCACAAAAATTTTCGCTATTTGACTTGAATACTCCATTTCTATAGAGAAATATATGAATTTTGCGACCTTGATTACAATGCATGAGCATGCTATTTATACTAAACTAAAGATGATCGTATCCGGCAGTTTTTCTTAGGAAATGGACACATATCAAGAACATGCACTTTAGTCTTCTGAATCACCGCCACGTCGTCAGAACTTGCAAACTGCTGAAAGTAGATTATGTTGTCTCTAGGGGTTTGAGGCAGGGTGATCCCTATCACCCTTTCTATTTGTCGTTGTTGTTGAACGGACGTCTGGCATTATGAAGAAGGCAATGGACATCAATTTTTCAGAGATTTCAAGTTGGATGCGGAAATAGGTGGAACTTCATTTAGTCTTTTTCAATTTGCAGATGATACAATTATAGTTGGAGATGGATCTTGGAGTAATTTGTGGGCCATAAAGTCGATACTAAAAAGTTTTGAGATGGTTTTTGGCCTAAGGATTAACATGAACAAAAGCAAATTATATGGAATTGGTTTGTCCCCTCAATTTATGTTGGCTGCTTCTAACTTCATTTTCTGTAGCATTGATAGAATTCCTTTCAAATTCTTGAGAATTAATGTTGGAGCTAATCCAAGGAGAGTTGAAGCTCGGAAACACTTCATCTCAATTTTGAAAAGCAAGTTATCTAGTTGGAAAAGCAAATTCTTGTCTATGGGAGGCAGAATCACTATTTTGAATTCTATCATTAATAACCTTCCAGTCCATCATATATCCTTCTTCAAGATCCCTGAGAAGGTGAAGAAGGAAATTATTAGAATCTAAAGACAATTTCTCTAGCATGGCATGAAAGATGGCAAGGATGTAAGTTGGATTAGTTGGCAAACTGTTTACAAAAGCAAGGATGGGGTGGTCTAGGTGTGAAGGAAATTGGGAGATTTAATGAGGCTTTGTGTTGCAAATGAATATGGAGGATCTTCAATGACAATGAAGCCATTTAGAATGGAATTATATTACATAGATATGGAGACATCATAAGGAGTTTGTGGCTGGATGAAGATAAGTACTAATCCTTAATGCAATTCTTATGGTGGAGGGACTTAATGCTCATTGGAGAGAATTTAAAGGGATGTGTTGATGACAAGGTAGGCATTAGGCATCTTGCCAAATTCAGAATTGGAAATGGAGCATCAATTCCATTTTGGAAAGGAGTCTGGATAGGCACAACATCATTGGAAGAGAGTTTTCCTAATTTGTGCAGACACGTTGAAAACAAAAAGGCTATGATAAGTGATTTTGGTAAGTGGGTCAATGAGAGCTGGGTTTGGAGACTTGAAGGGATAAGAACCAATAGAGATCAAAATCATGCTGAGGAGTTACATTACCTCAACCTTATTATGTCAGACTGTAATCTAAACTTCATGAAGGTCGACATGATTAATTGGGTGGCTACACCTCTGCAATATTTTTTTTTGTAAAATTATGCTATGAGAATTTGAAGGGTCAAGATATGCGACTGGAAGGATATGACAGTTTGAATTCAATGTGGAGAAAGTTATGGAAGATGAAGGTACCTTCTAAGGTGAAGGATGTTTGCTGGAGATTGATACATGATAGACTTCCTACAAGACAACATCTACTCAAAAGAAGTATCATCTTAGATGCAACTCTGCCCAGTTGTGCCTTTTGTAATGTTAATATAGAAACTATTGACCATTGATCCATTTCCCTATCACAAAGATGGTTTGGAATTATGTTTGGGATTGGATTGGTCTGCCGTGGCCAATCTTGCATGATTGTATCATGGAGTTCAAACATGTGATGAAAGCATTCAAAGGGAAGGTAGGAAATCATTGTGAAGGTTTCTTATGGATGATATCATGTTGGTACATTTGGAATAAGAGAAACAACGTGATTTTCAAAGAAGATGGATGTCATGCAATGGATATCGAATTTAGCATCAAATTTATCTTTTGGCTTTGGCTTGGTCTCCTCAAAAAATCATATTGTTGTAGCTTTTTTGAATGGTGTAAGGCACCACTAGATTTCCTTTTGTAACTCTTTTTGTATATCATTGTTGGTTTGTGGCTTGACTTACTCCACTTTGAAAACTTGTAGGATTCCTTTGTATGTTATGGAGGATTGAGTACCTCTTATAATCACTTACATAAACATTTGCTTATAAAAAAACTATTATCCCTCGTTCGTAACTGGTCCAAGCAGATAAATGCCTTCTTCTCGAAGGTAGTTTATGAAAAAATCTAGTGTTGAGACAACTTATTTCAAGTCTTTGACTTCCAAATTATCCTAAGTCTTTGACGTTTGTCGAACTCTTTGACTTCGACATGGTGTCAAAAGATCAACTAGATTTATTCTTGAGATTCTTCCAAATCATGTCTAGCACACTAGTCGACACACTCCCTTCGACGTGGTTTGTTCATGTCGTGGCTTATCAATAAATACTAACACTTAGTATTTCCTCAATCTAGCACATTGTTGTCTTTTCTTCAAATAGAAATTCCAAGCTATCAGATGCCCCCCTAAAAATGTCACTTTCGATCATATGAGTCAGATGGAAGAAAGATGGCATTTTTTGTAACTATTTGACACTGTTCACATATCTTGTACATGTCACACCAATTAGACATTTATTTATTTATTATTATTATTTTATTTATTGGTCATGATGGCCACTTTCTACCAAACTGTCACGTCACAAACGTGTGGACGACTCATCATCATCATCCTTAATTTCCTAGGAGATTAATGCACCATTAACTTAAATGAAATTAAAAATAAACCACTTAATCTCATTAGTTTCATCTTTTCCCATAACCCTTAGTGCCAACTATCCATTTGGTTTGTCCAAATTTTGGAGGAAAAACCGAAACGTTCTCTCTCCTTTTTTGGCTATTTAAACGCTTTTTCATCAACTCTGTTCTCTTTCACCATTAACTTCCCTGAAAAAGAAAGAAAAATCCCAATGAGTTTCTGCAAGTTCTATTATCTTCTTCTACGCATTTCTTACCCAGAAACTTCTTGGAATCAACAATGGCTCCTAAAATGCATTCAAGCCTGCTCATCATGCTCCCTTTGTTGCTGCTATTGACAAAACCTTTCTCATATATGTTCGTGTCTATGTCCCGGAGCCTCTCATGGAAGATGGAATAAGAAAGGCTTGGTCTTCTAATGTACTAATACCTTACTCTATTTCAAGTACCACCTTCACTTTCATGGGTCCCCTTACTAGGCATGTTA